GCCTGGACAGGGGGAGCCTCTTAGAGACCCTACGAGATATAGGAGGTTGGTTGGCAAATTGAATTACCATACAGTGACTAGACCTGACATTTCTTTTCCGGTGAGTGTTGTAAGTCAGTTTATAGATTCTCCCTGTGATAGTCACTGGGATGCAGTTGTTCGCATTCTTCGGTATATAAAGTCAGCTCCAGGCAAAGAATTACTATTCGAGGATCGAGGCCACGAGCAGATTGTTGGGTACACAGATGCTGATTGGGCAGGATCACCTTTTGATAGACGTTCTACGTCTGGATATTGTGTTCTAGTAGGAGGTAATTTGGTCTCGTGGAAGAGCAAGAAACAGAATGTAGTTGCTCGATCTAGCGCCGAAGCCGAATATCGGGCCATGGCTATGGCGACGTGTGAGTTAGTTTGGGTCAAGCAGTTGCTCAAGGATTTAAAGTTCGGAGAAATCAGCAAGATGGAACTAGTGTGTGATAACCAAGTTGCTTTTCATATTGCGTCAAATCCGGTGTTCCATGAGAGAACTAAACACATTGAGATCGACTGTCACTTTGTCAGAGAAAAAATACTTTCAGGAGATATTGTTACAAAGTTTATAAAGTCGAATGATCAACTAGCAGATATTTTCACTAAGTCTCTTACTGGTTCTCGTATTAGTTACATGTGTAACAAGCTCAGTACATATGATGTGTATGCACCGGCTTGAGGGGGAGTGTTAGTTTATAGATATGTATATTGTAGTCTTGTCCCACATTGGAAGAGGAGTAATATCTCTTTGTAGTGTATAGCTATAAATAGGGACCTCTTGTATTGTATTTATCATCCAATATCAATAACATATTTTCTCCCGTACCTTCTCACAGGCCCAAGGTCCATTTATCATGGTATCAGAGCCACCAGACCCATTTCAATTATTGTTACCGATGTTGGACCCCCATTTATGTTGTCGCGTGGTGGGGGTGTTGTGTTGTCCCACATCGGAGGGATTTTGAGTTCTTTGGTCTCCTTATATGGTCTTGGGCAATCCTCACCTCATAAGCTAGCTTTTGGGGTTGAGTTAGGCCCAAGGTCCATTTATCAGTATGCATAGTGAATGGCATACCATAAGTTCCTTCTGCTTTTCTGTACCGTTGCTCCTTTCCAGCTGCAGGATGTTTTATTATTAAGTTCTCTGGTATTACCCACTTAAAGCTGAAAAGAATTAGGAACATACTCCCACCAGTTATTGATCTTGCCAATGTCTAGTGATATTCCAGCTAGTGCCTCTCTACATTGAGCCACCATTTATTGAACTGTTCGAAATTTGGACAATTTTCATCTATGAATGAGTTTTCTATTAGACTGCTAAATTTCTTTGCATTAAGACTAGATAAAACAAAACTAAAAGGCCCGTAGTTTGCTTGAACAGAAAGATGATCTGAGGCCATAGCTAAGCTATCGTTATCGAACACGTGACATATCCCGGCTAGAGAGCATTGATTTCTCTACCGGAGGAGTCTGAAATCAACGTGTAACTGCTTGGGCATTGACTGTTCCGCTGCTTGAGGAAGTATGTGAGAACCTCTATGTGACGTTCTTAAACGAGTACCTTTCCAAATTTACATGCATATGCTGGAAAAGGTTTCGTCCTAATCATTCAGCAAGATGGTAACTACACTGATAAAGGTGCACTTAGTTAGTAGAGCTAAAGTATCAATAAAATTTTAACTTCAGCTGGAAAATTAATAAGAAGAAGTTACATCTGGATTAAATGGTTTTATAAATGAGGGCATGTCTAGCTGGAGTAGGTCTCTTGTCAGTTCCTTTTGTAATCAATGTCTTCCGTCCAACTTCATCTTGGTATTGAATCATCTTTTGCTAGTTTTAGCTTTCATTATAAACTCATTTGGGCTCAATGTAGCTCAGCTGGTGTAGAGGATGGCAGTGTGATCCAGGATATACAAGTTTATGATGTGAAGGGAAAGCACTGCTGTCATTTAAAACCAATTGCCCAAATAGATGATATGTACTGAAAACCTGTATTATATTAGGTTCCGGATGTGCATTGCGAAAACTTATTAACTTCTTCTCAGGCTTAACAAGTCCCTTTAGCCAGATTCAGCAGGCAGCAAAATGAGGCTCCTCGTCTTTTATTGCTCTCGTCCTTGCGAGTTATATTCAGACGGGTTATACAAAATATTGTTTGATGACATTACTTTTTCCTGGATAGGCTCACGAGATGTTCTATTTGTCCTGTTCTTGCACCTATAGCCTCTCTCACAGTTACTGGCATTCAATTCTTCTTCTTGGACACCCTTAGGCACCAGGTGTCCTTTCTGTCAAAGGTAGTGTTGTAGAAACATTAATAGGAAACATTCTTTTTAAGCTACCTGGGATAATAAGCCCTATTAACAGAAAAATTAGAGAAATGAGTAAACCGATGAGGAATTCATTGGCTAGGATTTAAGCTTGTTGAGTTTAAATCATTCAATAAGTTTAGGCTTTTTCATATAATTGAATTCATAAAATGTTTGGTTAGAATGAAATTCTTGGTTGCGTTGTTCGGTGTTTCTTTTGGGAGTCAACTGTTGTTATCATTTTCTTAGATATCATGGCTGTCAGTACCCTGTAAGATCTCTCAGAACAATCTTTTTTGGTTCTGCCCAACAGGTCGAGTCTTCTGAGAACTGGGAACCAGCGATTATATTTTTGCGGCGATCAAGCTTCCAAGTCAAGGTTCATAGAACACAAGCTGTTGTAATAGCAGAAAAATTTTCCAAAGAGTTGTCGGTATGTGCTTTCATGTGATGGATTAATACTTAAAGTGAAATTTGTGTTATTTAGCAATAGAATTTACTACTCTGTACTCATCTAGTATGGGTCTTGAGAAGCTGAGTTCAAGTTTTCCTGCAAATATATGATAATGTGAAGGCGTGCAGCCATAGTTACCATAAATTTGTTATGCATGTATACATTCCAGCATCATTTATAATCACGTATGGAAAAGTTCTTGATAAGAACATTCTATAATGGCGGAATACATACACGACTCCCTAAACGTGGCAGTATTCACTTAGCTACCTTAACTGAGGCCTGTACCTATTAGATACTTCAACCTCACTTACTGCGTGCCTATGGGGCACAATTGTCTAATCAGCAAAAAAAATGTAATGCGTGAATCTCACATGCGATGACTTGGCAAGAATTAACAAATGGAACAAGGCCATGTGGCTTTTGGGTTTAGATAATCCAAAAAGATAACTTTTCAGAAGAAGAAAAAGAAAAATCTGTTCTAATAAAAGAAACCCCTCCCTCAGTGCTGCAAACCCCCCCTCACCCGTCGGCTGTCGCCGGCAAGTTTCCCCTCTCAGTTGCAGGTCAGAACCACCACCTACTCCACCCTCTTTCTGAAGCGAACCTTCCTGTCCATCACCCGTTGAAACCACCAGCGACCCCATCACCTGACTACCCATCAGATTCCCAAAAACAACCACCAGGAAGGACCTTCACCGCCGACATGGCCGGAAAACCTTCGAAACGTCATTAACCCACCACTAATACCACACCTTCAAAATAGCCGCCACCACCTTCTTCTACCCTCTCCCATTCCTCTTTTCATCATCTCACCACCGCCGGTCCACCAGCCTCAACCTCTGAAATCGCTGTCGGCCACCCTTCTCTCTTCTCGAGCCCTCCTTCCTTGTTAGCAGAAACCCACCAGTGAACCACTACCGAAAAATGCTCTCCGCTTCCTAACCCCTCTCTCTATTTCAATGCTTTCCTCATCCATGGTCTCAAGAAAAGTCATCTCGAGCTCTCTGAATCCTTCAAAGGGTGGAGTATCTGTTTGCAGTAATCGTTCGCTCCAATTATTTACGGGTGTCTTTGACTCCGGTATGCCGCTGTTTGGACTGTGCTATACGTTTGAGGCCCGGTGGTTTTCTGAAAATGGATTTATTTTTGAAAAAAAATGTAATTTTGGAATTTCCACGCTCCTAAGAGGGGTGAGATACACTTTTGTTGTGCCATGTCAGGTGTTGTGCTTAATAGGTACACATTGAGTGAGGTTGAAGTATGTAGGAGGTACAAGCCTCGTTTGAGGTAGGCAAGTGAAAATTGTTGCCGAGTATACACTTTGTTTGCCATGTCAGCGTGTTGTGCTTAATAGGCACACATTGAGTGAGGTTGAAGTATCTAATAGTACAAGCCTCAGTTGAGGTAGCTAAGTGAAAATTGTTGCCAAGTTTAGAAAACCATCTATATATATTCTTCCTTCTATAATTAAGAAGTATATATTATGTAATTAAGGACTTAGATTTGGTAATGTTATGGATATAAAGCAATATTATGTAGATTAATTAGAATCATTAGGCTGATTCAATTCCTATAGTTGTATGTTATGTAATACATGTCACATGTGTGTACATTATTTACATCTCAGTGGATTGAGGATATGACTGAACATTTCTTACAATTCTCTCTCCCTCCCTCCCCTCTCTCTCTCTCTCTCTTTATTTTTTTTCATTTTTCAACTCCGTTAATAGAAAAAAAGGAACTGGCTCTAGATGTGGAGCTCTAGACTTGGTAGACTGTTGTCTTGACCTTTGATTTGCAGTTAGCTCTCTGAAATTTACCAATGGAAAGAAGCTGTTGGTTGCATCCTGATTTTCATTACTTATAAAAAATGTAATGATACAATTATACATAGGTTTGAATCATCACATTAACTGATGTTCAATGATGCTGATTGTCATAACAGGCTATTAGTTGGAGGAGATAACACATTAGTTTTATGATTTCTTGTTGTAGGGAGGAAAAGGATGTATCCTACTTAACCGTGTTTGGTGGGCACATCGCCTAACCATTGATAGGTTCATTTGGCTTATACGGTTACACCTAAGAAAAGAAGAAAAAGAAACTATAGTAAAAATGTAAAAATAACAACAGCAAGCAAAAGAAGCCCATTTTATCGTGGTTTAGTCACATTGTTCTTGATTTTCCTAAAGATAATCACAGGAAGCAAAATTTAGTAATCTAAAAATGCTGGAGACACCATTATCGATCAATGGATGGACAAGTCACTTGTACTTAAGGGTGGGTGGGTGTGAGGGTGATCGTTACTCATAATTGGAGCAAATAAACAGAAAATAGGCTTAACAGTATGGTGGTAAAGTGCTTGAATATAACGGAAATTTGTATTATCACCTAATTTATTGTCAAATATTTGAGTGTAATTCTGACTCTTCTATGTTCAGATCAAAATTCCAAGTGGGTTGTCAACACAGTTTGTTATCACATGTTCCAATGGGTCTTCACATCCCTTCAGTACAAACAATGATATAAGGTAACTTTTAACTTAGCATCTTTTTTGGGTTAAAATCACATGACATTGAAAAATTGTTAGTTGTCCTATAACATAATCATGCACAGGGCATAAACTGGTTGTCAATTTTTTTGTTTAGTAGGTTCTACTTAGTCACACAAAAGTAAAGCTCTAAACAAACAATTGAAGTGGTATTGAATCGTAATTTCGTGATTTAGGAGAACATCTAACTTAGGGGTACCCGCATCAACGTAGGTGAACAGTGATAGATTGTGTTGAAGAGATTAGGATTTTGTCACTTCATCTATCTTGAAAGTTACTTTTCTAAAAGCGCATTAGTGTCACATGTTTTAAGAGTAATATGTAGTAGATAAAGAGGTACCCCCTATGTGTTCTGTATCATGTAAATGAATGAAAAGCATCCACATATTCATAGTTTAGAAGTATTTATTAATTATTTCTGCAGTACTATTCTAGACACGGTTCTTTGATGCATATGGATTTATTTCAGATTGTAGCATGCATTGATATTTCCTGTCGTAAGTTGCTTGTCAACAGCTATATGTATATTCCCACTGTATTTTACCTAATTATTATCTTATATAAGCTGTAGCTAGAGTACTAGAAGCACCCAGTTTTCAGCTTAAATTTTAGTGATTTCATGATATTAAGTTGTGTACTTTTTCTTTTTTAATTTTTAGATAAGGTATTAAGTTGTGACTTCTTGTAGGGAGGCAGCTCTCATTTATCATTAAAAAAAAAAGAGGAACTAATCTGTTATCTCTTTTGTTGCTTGTATTCTTGGGTTTGTTTGTTACCAAAGAATTTGGTATGGGGAATATAGTGTTTCCTTAGTTACTATATTGTTATTAAATCAGATTTTGATTCTCTTCGTTCTTTGAATCATTGAAATATAAGTTGCGACTTTCTTATTTCTTTCTAGAATGCGCGATACTCTTGTGCTGACGATGAGAATCTTCCAAAGCAAGGTATTGTTTCCTTTACGATATTCTGAAATATATGAGTTCGAAATTTAACTTTTTCCTTTGTAGTTAACCATCTCATATGATTTGCTACTATTTCTTGGTAAACTAATCATTTTGCACATATATGTTCGTTTTAGTACAATTGAAACTGTGAGAAAGCACGGGAGAAAATATATTATTGATATTAGATGAACAATACAATACAAGAGGTCCTTATTTATAGCTATACTATACAAGGACATACTACTCTTCTACCAATGTGGGATAATACTATACTATATACATGCTGTAAACTAACACTCCCTCTCAAGCAGGTGCATACAAATCATATGTACCGAGCTTGTTACATATATAACCAATACGAGGACCAGTGAGAGACTCGGTGAAAATATCTGCAAGTTGATCATTCGACCTCACAAACTTTGTAGCAATCTCTCCTGAAAGTATCTTTTCTCTGACGAAGTGACAATCAATCTCAATGTGTTTAGTTCTCTCATGAAACACCGGATTTGATGCAATATGAAGTGCAGCTTGATTATCGCACACAAGTTCCATCCGACTGATTTCACCAAATTTCAACTCCTTGAGCAATTGTTTGGTCCAGACTAGCTCACATGTTGCCATAGCCATTGCTCGATGTTCTGCTTCTGCACTAGATCGAGCAACTACATTCTGTTTCTTGCTCTTCCAGGACACCAAATTTCCTCCTACTAAAACACAATATCCAGACGTAGAACGTCTATCAGAAGGTGATCCTGCCCAATCAGCATCTCAGTATCCAATGATCTGGTCATAAACTCGATCCTCAAAGAGTAACCCTTTGCCTGGAGCCGATTTTATATATCGAATAATGCGGACAACTGCATCCCAATGACTATCACAGGGAGAATTCATAAACTGACTTACAACACTCACAGGATAAGAAATGTCGGGTCTAGTCACTGTGAGATAATTTAATTTTCCAACCAGCCGCCTATAGCTTGCAGGATCGCTAAGCGGCTCCCCCTGTCCTGGCATAAGTTTAGAATTCGGATCCATCGGAGTGTCAACAGGTCTGCAACCTATCATCCCCGTCTCCTCAAGAATGTCTAAAGCATATTTTCTTTGAGAAATAACAATACCTGAGCTAGACTGGGCAACCTCAATACCTAGAAAGTACTTCAATCTGCCTAGATCCTTAGTTTGGAAGTGCTGGAAGAGATGCTGCTTTAGATTGGTAATACCATCCTGATCATTGCCAGTAATAACAATATCATCAACATAGACTACCAGATAAATACAGAGACTTGAAGCAGAGTGCCGATAAAACACAGAGTGATCAGCTTCACTACGAATCATGCCAAACTCCTGGATAACCGTGCTGAACTTACCAAACCAGGCTCGAGGAGACTGCTTTAGACCATAAAGTGACCGACGCAAGCGACATACAAGGCCACGAGACTCCCCCTGAGCAACAAAACCAGGTGGTTGCTCCATATAAACCTCATCCTCAAGATCACCGTGAAGAAAGGCATTTTTAATGTCCAGCTGATAGAGGGGCCAATGACGAACCGCAGCCATGGATAGAAAAAGGCGGACTGAAGCCACTTTAGCCACGGGAGAGAAGGTATCACTGTAATCGAGCCCAAATATCTGAGTATATCCTTTGGCAACAAGACGGGCCTTAAGTCGATCAATCTGTCCATCGGGACCAACTTTGACTGCATAAACCCAACGACAACCAACAGTAGATTTACCTGAGGGAAGAGGAACAAGCTCCCAAGTACCACTTGTATGTAAAGCAGACATCTCGTCACTCATAGCCTGTCGCCATCCTGGATGAGACAACGCTTCACCTGTAGACTTAGGGATGGAAACCGAGGACAAAGAAGATATAAAAGCATAATGGGGAGATGACAGACGATGATAGCTCAAACCGACATAATGAGGATTAGGGTTAAGTGTGGTCCGTATACCTTTCCGAAGTGCAATCGGTGTACTAGGAGCAGGGTCCGCAGCAGGAGCAGGGTCAGGTGCAGGACGAGAACCAGTTGGGCCTGATGGAAGACGCAAACGACGATGATAAGTCAAGAGTGGTGTTCCTGTGGCTGGGGAACTAGGGGGAACAACACTAGACTCCTCAACGGTTGGTATAGATGAAACCTCTGTGGTCGAAGGTGGAGGAGGAGCTATAGTAAACTCCTCAAAGGTCGGTATAGGTAAGACCTCAGATATATCATGGTGGTCAGCAGAGGTAAAGAAAGGTTTAGACTCAAAAAATGTGACGTCAGCTGACATAAGGTACCTACGAAGATCTGGAGAATAACAACGATATCCCTTCTGAACACGAGAATAACCAAGGAAGACACACTTGAGAGCACGGGGAGCTAACTTATCTTTCCCAGGGGCTAAGTTATGAACAAAACACGTGCTCCCAAAAACACGAGGTGGAAGAGAGTATAAGGGTGACTCGGGAAACAATACTGAATGCAGAATCTGATTTTTGATGGGAGAAGAAGGCATCCGATTAATCAAATAACAAGCTGTGAGAACTGCATCGCCCCAAAAACGCAACGGAACACGAGATTCAATTAGAAGTGTGCGAGCAGTCTCAATAAGGTGCCTATTCTTTCTCTCAGCAACCCCATTTTGCTGAGGGGTATAAGGACAAGATGTCTGATGAATAATTCCCTGAGAAGTCATAAACTGCTGAAATTGAGAAGATAAATATTCTAAGGCATTATCACTGCGAAAAATGCGAATAGAAACACCAAATTGGTTTTTGATTTCAGCACAGAAACTCTGGAATATAGAAAATAACTCAGAACGATCTTTCATTAAGAAAAGCCAAGTACATCTTGAATAATCATCAATGAAACTGACAAAATAACGAAATCCCAAGGATGAACTGACTCTACTAGGACCCCATATATCAGAATGAACTAAGGAGAAGACAGACTCTGCATGACTCTCAACACTACGCGAAAAGGAGGCTCGGGTATGTTTCCCAAGTTGACACGACTCACAATCTAATGTAGACAAACTAGATAAACTAGGCACCATCTTCTGAAGTTTGGATAAACTCGGATGTCCTAAACGTCTGTGGATTAGATCTGGAGGATCTGTAACTAGACATGTTGTGGAAGGACTGAGTGAGTTAAGGTAGTAAAGGCCTTCTGATTCACGTCCTGTACCAATTGTCTGTCCCGTACTGCGGTCCTGCATAATAAAAGAATCGTCAATAAAATATATACCACAATGGAGGGCACGAGTCAAACGACTAACAGATGCAAGACTAAAAGGACAGCCAGGGACATAAAGAACGGAATCTAGGGTGATAGAAGACAAGGGATTAGCTTGTCCAACTCCTTTTGCCTCAGTTTGACATCCATTGGCTAAAGTAACAGTGAGAAGAGATTGTGAATATACAATATTTGACAAAAGTGATATATTACCAGAGATGTGATCAGAAGCGCCGGAGTCCATGACCCATGGGCCAAGAGCGCTAGACTGGGAAACACAAGCAAAAGAATTACCAGTAACAGAAGTATCAGTCTGAGCAAGTGAGGCTACTTGTAGAGATGTCTGCTTACTTGCTCGATACTGAAGGAGCTCATTATGTTCTTCATTAGATAAAGAAAATCCTTGGTTACCTGGAGTCTCGGTCTGAGCAATGTAAGCATTTTTGGGTGGACGACCATGTAAGGAATAGCACATTTCACGAGTGTGTCCAAGTTTGTGACAATAAGAACACTTGGGTCTAGATCTTCCAAAACGACCTCCTCCTCGTCTATGCTCCATAGTTTGAGATGCCCGAACATCCATTGTCTGGGATGCAAGAACAGAGGAATCAAGTATCTGTGATGAGATCACTGGTGGACTTGGTGCTGCAGCAAGGCGGAGTAATCGAGAGAATAATTCATCAACTGTCGGGACAGACGGACTAGCCAAAATCTGGTCGCGTACTGAATCAAGATCATTAGGAAGTCCAGCGAGGGTAAGAACGAGAAACATCTTCTGTCGCTGCTCTTGTTGTTTTTCCACACTAGCCGAAACTGGCATCAACTTCTCAAATTCCTCCATGACTGCCTGTACTTGACCCAAGTAAGTAGACATATCCAATTCCTGCTTCTTTAAGTTTGTCATCCGTGATATCACATCATAGAAGCGAGATATGTCATTAGTGTATAAGGTGCGTGCCTTTGCCCAAACCAAATAACATGTCTGGAATGGACGAAACAAGGGCATCAACTTGGAATCAATAGATCGCCACAAGATGCTACATAACTGAGCATCGATTTTTGCCCAAAGTGTTATTGCCTTTTCATCTCCATCGCTAGACTGTTTGATTAGATGATCTTGAACACCTCAACCTCTACACCATAACTCGACAGATGAAGCCCAAGCTAAGTAGTTTGAACCTCCCATTAAAGGTTCCGAGGTAATAATAGCACTAGAGCTTCCAGAACTCATGTTTCTAGACCCAAAAGCATCAAATCCCAAAGACATTGTTGCAAATTATTACCAAATAAGAGAAAGAATCAACTGTAATCCACTGAAACAGTGTACGGAAACACAGAAACAGAATACTGAAATACTGTAGCTGCCGGAATCTACTGTAGCTGTCGGAATAGTACTGTAGCTGTCGGAATAAACTCAAAGTTGTCGGAATGAAATGAAAACAGTAGGGGTAGGATCGGAATTACCAGGCGACCCAACTGTTCTGAAGGAAGATTTTCAAAAAATGGCCGGAAGTGGTCGTACGCGCCGGCGCGTGAGCTCACGCGCGTGAGCTTCTGGTGGCGCGTGAGGCTGCTTCTGCCGGAGTTGTTCACTGGGGTTTGGTCGCCGGACAGTGACGACTCTTGTGGTAGTGTTGGATTTTGCACAACACTGACAGAAATGAAGCAGATAGAAAACAACCTTAAAAAAGTACTGATTTCTCTTTCCCGGAATCGCTGGAATTTATGCACAGCGATAAGTCTCTCACAATTGCTCTGATACCATGTGAGAAAGCACGGGAG